AATAGAAAAAATAACAAACTTCATATCCATATCTACATTTTTTCTTATCACGTTGGATATATATAAAACAACATGGGTTTAATTTCTTTTTATTTCTAGCTATTTTTCTTTTTTTATACATAAGGACAGTGTATTTATACACTAATTAATCTAAAGGCCTGGGACCTACAAACACCTAAAAAAGATCTTTTATAATCTTTTGTCTCCCTTCATTTCGACGTTCTTTGAAATAATGTCAGTTTATGCCTAAATGATAAAACTTAAAATTTATAATATCTACGTATGTGTTGATTTTTTGTAAAACATGTCGAAGTTCATGTTTCCGATTCTTCTTAAGAAAAGCTTAACATTTGCTAATTAGATTTCCATACGGCTAAAGGCGAGTGGCACCATAAATTATCTACAAACTGATCTGTACCATTCCACAAACTGTTCTTTATTTCTTACACTTGACTCGTCTATACCCACATCCAACCCACTTCGGCTTCATTTAAAAACCCGACTCTCGTCCCTCTTCCTCATTTTACAAACCTGATGGTTGCCTTGATATTTCTATTTTTCTTTATTACATCATTAATTCAATTTGGTTTCATAATCTTAGTTACCTCACATATGACCAAGCAATAATGCGAGTAACTAACTAGGGATGGTGTCAAATGTGAGTTCTATAAAAAAAAACCATAATTAAACAACTTTAGTCCAGAATTTAGGTGTAGGTTTTCCATGGAAGTTTGGTGTGGTCCTTACCTAATTGAAAATTTCCACACTCATTAGAACAACGTGTTTACGTGGTTTGAGCAACTCTACAGTGAGACTGGATTCATTGCCACCACAAAGAGACCATAGATTTCATCATGGTTTAAATATAATACGTACAATTTACTCACAACAAACTAATTTTCATGGCTGATATTGATAGACACGCTTTGGATTGCATTTTCTTTCTTTTAATTTTTTAAGAATAAAGACTTTTGGTTTTTTTTTTTTTTTTTGGTATTTATAGTTAGAGTGTCTTGAACCAATTTTTGTACTTTTTAAAATTAATTTCTCTGTAAACAAAAATTAAAAGCGCACTCTTTACATCAGTTTAGTGTATTCAAAAAACTTAATTTTTTTAAATATTAGTTCAAGACTTGAATTTTAAATATAATGTACAAGATCATACTTTTGGGTAAAATGTTGCTTAGTCATCCAAACTGATCCAGAGCCCGCTCCCTTATTTTTTTGGAAAGGAAAATAGTACATAAATATTTGTTTCAACTAACCACACGGATAATTTTAACTTATATGCTCGTATTCGTATAGTCGTATATATGATGTTTGAGTCTAATTAATCATGTAACTATGTAATTGATTATCATGTAAAGAGTATCTCTCTCTCTCTCTATATATATATATATATGGTATGTTGAGGTCAGCATCTAGATAATTTTTTTCAACGATGTTCCTTCTAGTTAATGAAAATGTGATGGGCGCTTTGCTGTCTTGCATTTTCTTCCAATTAAGCTTTATATGCACAAGGTTTGACCTCTGTCTATTGACTCAGCTTTCTCTGTATTTAATTCATTTTGATGACTTTGTATACACGCACTTTTTTTTTTTAGCCATTATCTATCTATAGTCACCATGTTAATAAAAAAAAAAGAGTTAACCAACCTTGAAATGTGCTGGAACATATATTAAGCTTAATTATATAATTATTATAAATATATTTTGACGTGTGATTGTGGTTTTACAATCTGAAAGCTAATACCAAGAGATTCTTGGTTTAAATTGCTCTTTCAAACCAAGTTGAAATTATCTAGAAGACTAATTACAAATTAAAGGATTTTTTTTTTTTTTTACAGGGTAATGGTTAGAAGTTAAAAGTTAGGTTAGTACTTTACTCTTGACAAAACTCGACCACTGATCAAAGTGCAATCCACCGGCAGCCCTTGAACTGCAGTAGTCATCAATGGGCCACAACAGGAAAATGCACAATTAAAGGATTTGTTGATCTAGACACGCGTAGAAATTTTCCATTTCCCTTGTTATGGGAGCCATCCCCACTTAATTAGGACTTGGTCTTTTGAAAGGTCCTTATAGAACTACAGGCGCCGGTTAATTAATTAAGAGAGACCCACCGTCCATAATGAGAGAAAATTGTTTAGCTCCGGAGGCAAAGTGTCCTTTATTGCGTGCATAACTTTGACGAAATGATGAGGTAAACTAATTTGGATGCATCTTTTTTTTCCTTTGGGTCGAAACTAAATTTTCCATTTCCCTTGTTATGGGAGCCATCCCCACTTAATTAGGACTTGGTCTTTTGAAAGGTCCTTATAGAACTACAGGCGCCGGTTAATTAATTAAGAGAGACCCACCGTCCATAATGAGAGAAAATTGTTTAGCTCCGGAGGCAAAGTGTCCTTTATTGCGTGCATAACTTTGACGAAATGATGAAGTAAACTAATTTGGATGCATCTTTTTTTTTTCTTTGGGTCGAAACTAAATTTTAGGGCTAGTACAGTTTAGTATCGATTACAATTAAAATTGAATTATTGGTTAACTAAAATTTTAAGTTTTAAATTTTAGCAACGATTAATCAAATTAAGTAATGATCTATTGATCTTAGTGAAAGAAATTTAATTTTTCTTAAATAAAATTTTAAATTTAAATTTTTTGAATGAAGAAATAAACACTAAAAAAGCTTTTCATTTATAGGAAAAAAACTATTAATCAAATTAAAAAAGATGGGTTTTATCAGTTTCATATACATTTTTGAGAGTAACCATTCTTTCTTTCTTTTTTTTTCTTTTTTTTTTTGACGGAGAGGGTAACCATTCTTATTAAATTTGGTTGTAACTGAAAAATTATTTTTATATTTTTAGTGAATTTTTTGAATTCCTTTATTATTATTTAATTAATTTCATTCACTAAAAACCTAAAAATTACTCAAATAAATAACTAATTTAGTGAAAAGTGGCTAGAAAACCTTTAAAAAAGATCTAGAAACCATTAAAGACTTACGTGAAAGGTTTTTTGAATCAAAATTTTCAGATATACTACCTTAATTATCTGTTTTTAATTTTTAAACTTAACAATCAAATCCAAACCGTTTAAAATTGGTTCGGATTAATTTTTAATCAAACAAACCCAAATTCAATCAAACCTTACCCATCAGTTATTGGTTTACCTATTGTTAAAAACACCTAACTTTATATGTACTATATTTTAATTAATATCATGTAATCATTGTATAGGTTGTCATCAACACCTAACTATTTGTGTTTGATTCTTCACGCAATTTGGACTTTCGAATATCCTAATTTGCGCATGCAAGACCGTCTGAACTGCAGGCTTCTGTCAGTATTATATCGTTACATAATTTAGTAGACTTATTAACTAATTATTATTTGAACTTAGTATATGTAATGACTAATGCAAGTTTAAGATTAGATAACATATAAAGTTTAACATATAACTAACTTTGTGGATAAGCGCTGAGCAGAGTGACTAAGAGCCAAAAAGAATCTCTTTTTGGGATCATGTTGAATAATTTGTAAATATTTAAGATCTTACGTTAAGAAAGTATAATAATTTAAAAGAATTTATAAATGTTTATTTTTTATTAACAAATAATTAAACAAAGTAAAATTTAAAGTAAATTGAGCTTTACTCTTTTATATATAGTCAAAAGATGGGCACTTAAGTATTTGGGGTATCTTGGGGCTTAATTGCCAAAACATCATTATTTTTATTATTTTTGAAATTTTGAATTTATTTTATTAAGTTAAAATTTTAAAAGACATGTTTAAAAATTAGATATAACTTTTGATAACTAAAAAGTAATTGAATGAAATGATGTATTTTTAGAGGGATACATCTTACAAATAGTAACTTCATTTTATTCCTTATCTACTCTGCTTAGGGGGGACAGCATTAAATTAATTTATCTTAAACTTAATTTCTCCAACAAATTAGGAATCCGAGTTACATGTGAAACAGAGAATATATACTCCATGTATGACAAAACAATTTAGTGATAATTTTATATATCTTGTAATAAAATCTTATAATTTTGTGTAACAATGAGTCAATAATTAAGTAATGAATTCATATATATATTTACATATTTTATGATACTATAAATAAGATGAAGAAATTGAGAGGAAATCAAGATGTTTTAGTAATTAAAAATTTAAAATTTATAATGAAAAAATTATAATACCATTAATAAATTAATACAAAAAAATTACTAAAAATATTTAAATAATTTCATAAAAACTCTTAACATTTAAAATGTTAAAATATCTTAATTTTTACTTTTTTTTAATGTGAAATATAAATTACTTATATTAATTTGCTCAGGAAGATTTTATTATTACTTCTTCAATCTCAAAATA